TGGGAAGGGCACTGGGGTCTGGGAGAATCCCTGCAGGAGAAGGAACAGGAGTCTGGGAGAATCCTGCCGGGAAGGGCACTGGGATGTCGGGAAAGGATTGGGAGAATCCCTGCAGGAGACGAAACTCCCCTGCAGGAGAGGGTGCAGAGGTCTGGGATAATCCAACCCCCCCAATCCCGATTTTTCCCGTGTGTCCCAGAGTTCGAGCGGAGACAGGCCCGGCCCCTGGACGCCGCCCTGCACCGGGGGGAGGAGGAAGGGGCAGAATTCCAGCAGAAGTTGGAGGAGCCGCGGCCGCCGCCGCCGAGGGTGCGCCCGGTGCCCTCCCTGGTGCCGCGCCCGCCCCAGACCTCCCTCGTCAAGTTCGTGGGGAACATCTACACCCTCAAGTGCAGGTGGGAGCATTCCCGATCCATAGGGAGACACAGGGACCAACAGGGAGGCACAGGGAGGCACAGGGTACACAGGGAGCCACAGGGAGACACAGGGAGCCAAAGGGATACACAGGGATACACAGGGATACACAGGGAGCCACAGGATACACAGGGAGCCACAGGGATACACAGGGAGACACAGGGATACACAGGATACACAGGAAGCTACAGGGATACACAGGGAGCCACAGGGAGCCACGGGGAGACACAGGGATACACAGGGAGACACAGGGAAACACAGGGAGACACAGGAGTACACGGGGATACACAGGGATACACAAGGATACACAGGGTACACAGGAAGCTACAGGGATACACAGGGAGCCACAGGGATCCACAGGGAGACACAGGGAGCCAAAGGGATACACAGGGAGACACAGGATACACAGGGAGCCACAGGGATACACAGGGAGTCACAGGGAGCCAAAGGGATACACAGGGAGACACAGGGATACACAGGATACACAGGAAGCTACAGGGATACACAGGGAGCCACAGGGATACACAGGGACACACAGGGATCCACAGGGATGCACAGGGAGACACAGGGAGCTACAGGGATACACAGGGAGACACAGGGAGCCAAAGGGATACACAGGGAGACACAGGGATACACAGGAATACACAGGGATCCACAGGGATGCACAGGGAGACACAGGGAGCTGCAGGGATACACAGGGAGACACAGGGATACACAGGAAGCCCGACTACCCCAGCCCTCTTTTTGGGGCGCTTGGAGGCTCTGGGTGTCCCTGTCCCCCCCCATATCCCAACCCTAATTCCCGTTATCCCTCAGCTTCAGAGGTTCTGGGTGTCCCTGTGTCCCTAATCCTGGATCCCAGCCCTCATACCCATTATCCCTCAGCCTCTGAGGCTCTGGGTGTCCCTGTATCCCAACCCTAATTCCTGTTCTTCCTCATCTCTGGCTATCCCTGTATCCCTAATTCCCATTCTTCCTCAACTCTGAGTATCCCCGTGTGCCAACCCTAATTCCCGTTCTCCCTCAACTCTGACTATCCCTGTATCCCATCCCTAATTCCCAATATTCCCCCTCATCTCTGGCTATCCCTGTATCCCTAACTCCCATTCCCCCTCAGCTTCAGAGGGTCTGGGTGTCCCTAATCCTGGATCCCATCCTTAATTCCCATTCCTCCTCAGCCTCCCAGGCTCTGGATGTCCCTGTATCCTAACCCTAATTCCCAACATTCTCCCGGCCGCCTCCTCCCCGTTTTCCGGGAGTCTCTTTCCCACCGGCGCCGCGGCGTTGTGTCGGCAGGTTCTGCGAGGTGGAATTCCAGGGCCCGCTGTCGATCCAGGAGGAGTGGGTCCGGCATCTCCAGCGGCACATCCTGGACATGAATTTCTCCAAGGCGGATTCGCTGCGGAGCGAGGCCCCGGCGCCCCCCGAGCCCCCCTCGGCCCTGGCCGAGGCCCAGTAGCGCCGATTCCGGACCCGGCACAGGGACATCCTCCATCCTCACCCCCCCCCTTCCCGCTCCCACCGTCTCCCGGAGTTTTTGGGAAAAGGGGGCGGGAGAGGGGCCCGATCGCTGCCTTCGCCCCTCTGGAGCGTCCCCCCCTCCGATCCCGGGGGGGGCCACAATCCCGGCCACAATCCCGGCCACAAGCACTACATGGATTGCGGGGCGGAGCCTCGGGAATCCCCCGGGATCCGCCACCGGATCGGGGCGGGAACGACTCGACACCGGGACGGGGGGGAGCGGGGGGAGGCTGAACTTCTCCCCCCCCCTCCTTCCTCGCTTCCCGAAATCCGTGTTTTTTTAACCCAAAGAACAAACGGTGTCGCCTTTCCCGGTGGCGATCGGGGCCGGAGCCGGGGGCCGGAGGGAATTCCGGGCGCGTTCCCGGAAAACGCTGTGGATTTTGTACATGACCCTTCGAGTTCCTGTATATTCGAGTTTTTTCCATAGGCGCCGGTCGGATTTAGTGGCGCGTAGATGTCGGAATCCCTCGGTTCCGGGGTTGCATGTTCCCAAAATCCCCCCTTTTTCCCGCACCAAAACGCCGCCGCCTCCCTCCCGCCCTTCCCACCGGATTCGCCGCCCTCCTCCCGCCGCCCATTCCCGGGGATTTCCCCGCGGGGGAGCGGCGGGCGAGACCCACCAGTGGGAACTGGGAAATCCCTGGGGAATTCCGGCATTCCCACCCGGAACCGGCCGTGGCGGCGCCGGGAGGATTCGGCTCAGTTTTCCCCCTTTTCCCGTTTTTTTTCCCGGTTCCACCGTTGCTTTGTTGTTTTTTCCCGGTTTTTTCCTCGTCCCAGCTCCATAGACCCGACTTTTTTAAACTCTAGACTTGTGTAGAAATAAGGAATATTCATTTTTATTTGGGAATCCCGAAACTTCCGAATTTCGGAGGGAATTTTAACGGATAAATATTTTTTTTTTCATCTTTTTTTTCTTTTTTTTTCTTTTTTTTTCTTTTTTTTTTTTTTTTTTATTTCCACTTTTTCGGGACGTTTCTGGTGATTCCTGTACCCGGGAGTGTGGGACGATGGATTAAATTGTTCTGGAAATGAAGCCTTGGGGGGAGAACGGAGTCTCTGGATACCCGGAATGTCGGGATGGGGCGTGGGGATGGGGGTCTGGGGGGGTCAGTGTGGGTTTAGGGCTGGGATGTGGGGACACGGATTGGGATGAGGCCACATCTCAGGGATGTTGGGATCTGGATGTGGCCGTGTTGTGGGATGTGGGGAATGTTGGGATTGGGATGTGGCCGTGACCCCAGGAAAAAATGGACACTGGGATCAGGGTGTGGCCTTGATCCCGGGAAAAAATGGACACTGGGATCAGGGTGTGACCGTGACCCTGGGAAAAAGTGGACACTGGGATCAGGGTGTGACCGTGACCCCGGGAAAAAATGGACACTGGGATCAGGGTGTGGCCTTGACCCCAGGGAAGAGGACGCTGAGGTCGGGATGTGACCTCGTCACCTGGATTGAGGGGACACGGATTAGGATGAGGCCACGTCTCATGGAGGTTGGGACCTGGATGTGACCTGGGACACGGGGACATGGATCAGGACAGAGCCGTGTCCCCAGGGAAGGGGGGCAGGAGGCTGGGACACATCCCTGTCCCCTGGGAATGGTGACATTGGGATGTCGGGATTTGTCCGTGTCCCATGGGAATGGTGACATCGGGATGTCGGGATCTGTCCGTGTTCCCTAGGAATGGTGACATTGGGATGTCGGGATCCGTCCGTGACCCCTGGGAATGGTGACATCGGGATGTCGGGATCTGTCCGTGACCCCTGGGAATGGTGACATCGGGATGTCGGGATCTGTCCCTGATCCTTGGGACAGGGGGACACGAGGGGTGGGGCCCCTCAAGACACACCCCATGATGGCCACGCCCACGGGTGACACACGTGGGGGGGGTCCCTCGTGTGTCCCCCACCAAACGTGACACACACGTGACACGGGTGACACACACGTGACACACACGTGACACAGGTGGGTGACCCCGCCCTCCCCCGGGCGTCCACGTGGGGGCGACCCGCACGCTCCGCCCACGGGGCGTGGCCACCGCACCGCCAGCCAATGGGAACCGGCGCCGCTGCCGGAGGGGGCGTGGCCAGCGCAGAAGGCGCGCCTCCCGCGCTATTGGTCCTAAGCCGGCTCAGCCCGCCCCCACACCGACCAATCACAAGAGCGGAGCCACGGCGGCCACGCCCACCTGTCAGCTGACATCCGCGTCCGCCAATCGCCGAGCGGGGAGGGCGGTGAGCGACAGCCGCCGCCCGCCAATGGGAGGCGCGATTCGCGCGGCGCGGGCCGCGGGCCAATGAGCGCGGGGGAGGCGGGGCGGCGCGGCCAATGGGAGCGCGGGGGCGGGGCCCGCGCGACGCCGTTACCGCCCGGGAAGGAGGAGGCGGCGCCGCCATCATGAGCTACGGTGAGGGGGGGGGGGACACCGGGGGGGCCGTGAGGGACCGGGGGGGGCACCGGGACATGGCGGGGGCTCTGAGGGGCCGGGGGGGGGGGGGGGGCCGGGGGGTTGGGGGGTGTCCGTGAGCGGGGGGACCGTGAGGGACACGGCGGGGCCGGGGATGGACCCGAACCCGCGCCACGGCCCGGGAGGAGCCTCCGAGCACCGTCCGGGCCCTCCCAGTTTTGACCCGGACTGGGACAGGAGGGACAGATCCAGCTCTTGATGGGAATGGAACAGGGACAGACCCAGATCCTGATGGGACAGACCCAATTCCTGATGGAATGGGAACAGGACAGA